TGCATGGACCAGCAGTATGGGTGCCCGGCAATCGCATGTGACGGGGATGCCAACCCATGGTGCTCCGCCGTGGAAGGGGGCTGGTTCTACTGCACCCCCGAGGGGCACGACGACCACGACGGCCACGACGACGAAGAAGAGTATTGCGACCTCTTCTACGACAACGCGCGGAACTGCGAGAAGGAAGGCTTGACCTGGTGCTGCGACCGCGACAGCAGCTACCCGAAGTGCGGCGACGCCTACCTCCACTGCAAGAATGAGCTCTCCAAGAAGACGGCCAAGAAACTCGCCATCGGCATCATCATCGGCATCGTCGTCGCCATCATCGTCGTCATCGCGTCCATCGTCGCCTGCTGCATCTGCTGCAGGCGCCGCGGCGCCTAAGCGCGCGACGGGGCTCGCGACCAAGCGCGCCGCGCGCCGCGCCGCGCGGGCCGTCGCTTGTCGTCAAGCGACGGCCGGCCCTTACCGCGCGCCGAGCTCGCCGAAGCCCGCGCAGAAGACCGCCGCCGCCGCGCCCGCCCCGCCGCGCGCCGCCGCCGCCGTCCGGATAAGCTCAGAGAGATCAAGGGAGGGCTCCAGGGCAGATCCAGGCCCTGGGCCGGGGGGCGTCCTGCCTGCGCATGATGCGTCGCTAAGTCAGGGTCCCTCGCCAGAGTCTTGGTCGACGCGATGGCCGGCAATCGGGAGGGGGGCGCGACGTCGTGGCAGGAGAAGAAGTTGGAGTATGAGAATCGCATGGCCCGAGCGAGGGGCAAAAAACTCGACACTCTCAAGACCTGCACGATCTGCGGCGCCGACAAGGCCAAGGCGTGCCAAGGGTGCGGCACGACGGCCTACTGTTCGACGGACTGCCAACGCATCGACTGGCGCGACCGGGGCCACCGGAAGGTCTGTAAGAAGATCCAGGCCGCGGAGGCGGCGCGGGCCGAAGCGCCGGAGCCCCCGCCGCCGCCGCCGCGGGACGTGTTCTACGGCCCCGCGCCTCGGTCGCACGCCGACGAGATCCGCGCGCGCATCGCCGCGGAACACGAGGCGGCGCGCGTGCGGCGCGAGGCGAACCCGGAGCCCGAGCCGGCGTCGGCGCGGTTTGGGTCGCGGTGCCCGATCTGCCTCGAGGAGTGGGACGTGAATGATACGGGCGTGTTTCGCGTCTGTTGCTGCCGGACGGTCTGCCAATCGTGCGAGGATAAGATCGGATTCGAGGCGTGTGCTCTCTGTCGATTACCGTACCCGGAAGATGACGCGGAAAACCTCGCGCGTCTTCGCCGCCATGTGGAGAACGAGGTGCCGGAAGCGATTACGGTTTTGGGAACTGCGTACACCTGCGGTCAGTACGGCCTCGTGCAAT